TCGCCCCCCCCCCCCCCCCCCCCCCCCCCCCCCCCCCCGCCCCCGCGCCCCCCCCCGCCCCCCGCCCCCCCCCCCCGCGCCCGCCCCCCCCCCCCCCCCCCCCCCCCTCGAATCATACTGAAAAACACACGGTCCCCCCAGCCAGAGCAGGGGTGTAGATATTATGAAGAGGCTAACATGTCTCTGCATTCATCTCGTATCGTCGAACGGTGAGTTGGTTGTTTTTTAAGCGCCCTGAGGGCACCGGGTCGAATTTGTGGGCAGGGGCTAAGGCAAGAGGCCGATGAACGGTGCAATAAGATCCCACTGATTGTTTGAGTCAAGTTGGATCTAACTGTATCTGTGATCGACTCACGCTAAAGTGACGGAGAAGGCACCCGATCAGTCTATCACGGCAAGGATAGCTCGGAAGATTACGATTCCGAATCGAGAATGATTGTGAAAACAGTACCATGTGGATGGTACGGAGTAGATGGCTTCTGATGAACACCATTAAAACTGCCTAAAGGTATTGGAGTGGGCCACAGTGGGCTTTGGGTGCCAATTCATAAAAACCTGGTGATGGTGCCAGAATTAGAATAGGATAACGTACTTTGTTTCCAGCTAGACGCTCAGAAACGCCACCTTGTTACATCTGATGCCCCTTGGGCTGAATTTCGAAATATTCCATCCTTTTGTTCGTACACGGAGGAGCATACTCTAAGAATGATTCCCAAATACGTATTTAGTGCCAGATTGCAGAGAATTCAAAATCCACAGTCTATTTCGTACAGAGTAATGCGTTGCTATTCAGTTTCTCTCCCATTGACTAGTTCCTGGGCTGAGGGACGTAAACAGCCCCCTTTTCCATCGTGATCTCTTCAGGAATAACATCCAACACATCCACGTCGTCCCATGTTGCATGAACGGTCCGTTCCCCCTTCAGGATACGGTTGATATTAAGCATTGTGCTGTACTTCACCCCCCAGCTAAAAAAGCCCTCTCCGTCGCCGGTCTCTTCGTGGATATCGGAGGACTTTGCTCTCGATCCTGCCTGATGGAAGCCCCCCGTGATCGATGGGTAAGGTGCAAAGCACCGCAAAAAACCATTACCACACATGCGTCCGAGCGAGACGTCAAACTGCGCACCAATGTCAATTTCTTCCGCAAGACCAGACGGATTTACCGACAGCGCCGCGAGGATCCGTTGCGCACCGCGGTAGCTCACAGCATAGAACATTGAGCAGGCGGCGTCGTTTGCTGTGCACGTAAGTCGACTGTGATCGGGTCGCTCGTGGCCCTCGAAGACCGGAGGGTCGCGCCACAGGGGGAGAAAGCGATGGGGCATTGGGATGGTCGGATCATTCGGTGTAAGGTAGAATGGCAGATCAGTCTTACATGACACGCCGCAGTGGCCTAGCCAGAGGATGTCCCAGTCGTCGCCGTATGGCGACTGAGTTGGGACTTTCCGGTTATGTCGAAGCTGGAGCTGGAGGGTTCGGACGGCGTGAGCGAAGCTCTGTAGCTGCACTTTGATTGAGACATCCCAGTCGGCATCGTCTTCCATGATAATCGCACTCGCTAATCTCTCCTGGACAATTCTAGGGGATCATTAGGCGTAGTCAAATATTGCAGTGTCAACTACATACCGCTGGAGTCCGTTGATATGCGCCCGTCGAGCAGCGTACTCGGTCGGTTTATGGCCATGGTCCCAGTTCTGAAACAGTCAGTCATCGTGCGTAGTGTGTAACTCTAGAAAGCATACATATGGATATGATTTAGCATCTATTTCACCTGGAGTCACGCCGTCAATCCAATCGACGTGGAAATTGCTGACGGAAGAGCCTAGGACGATATTGTCCCGCTTGTCAGGCCGGCTGACAAGGTTGATGGCGAAGACTTTTTGAAACTAAATAGTCGTGAGCCGAGGTATCATTAGGTGCAGCTCGAAGTGGGATAATCACCCCAAGGGTTTCGTTTCCGATGGCATCGAAGTTATCCCAATCATGATAGTTGCTCCAGACCTGCTGGGTAGGGGCGTCCGCGCCGTGAATGCTCTCTCGTAGGTTGAAAAGGATGAAGGCAACTCCGAATGCGACCAGAAGGAGCTGTACAAAGCGTAATCGGAATGCAGAAAAGACCATGCTCGATCGTCATCGGGAGACAAGATAGGACGCGTTGAATATCCCGAGCGTGATGGAGGCGACCGTGATTTCTGTTTTCCCCCAGAGCCGCCGAAGGTGAATATGTGGGCTGGTTATCGACAGGGGAGGGAGAGACTAGCCCTTCTAATACATAAGGCGTATTGCCGAAGCATGGTTGGTCGAGATATTCGTTGGATCCCCACTGTGATGGACTTGACTAGCCGCATGAACTCGGGATTTGAGGGCACATGAGTGGTATACAAAGCGACAGTGGCGTACCCCGGTCCATGCGCTGGCAGCATTATTAGTACTAAATACGGAGTAGACGTTAAGAATGATTGACATGGAGAGCACCGATTTACCCTGATGGCCGCGTGGGTCCAATGATCGGCCCAGAATTACCGCTGGCCCCCGCTGCGGCAAAGGGTCAAATTCGATGATGCTTAGTAATACATATATATTTTCACCGCCGGAGTTTCCGTCTTGAATATTTTAAAAGTCACCTGATCTATCACCATGAAGCAATTTAAATTAATCCAACTACCACCAATAATAGAGATAATTTGATTCCGAAAAACCTAGTTGAATACCGCCTAACGGAGGGACTTTAATTGCTCAAATGCGACCGATATTTAGTCCTAGTGATAGCCCAATTGCTTCGAGAGGTAGTGGATCAGGTGACATGGATATTACGGTCGCAGATCAGGTGATCTCTAAATAGTTGACTAGTTAGATCAGGTCAATTAAATCTACGGAGTAAGCCTCCCCCCAACCTAGCTTATCCACGTTGTATACATGTACGTTGCTTTTTGGTGAAACCGAGTACATATTGTTGTTCCATCAACGAAGATTCTACGATTCGCGTGGCAGAAAGAAACCGCCCTGCAGGTGCGAATCGACGGATTTGTAATCATGCAAAGTGCCCAGGTGCAACTAGCCCTAACGCCCAAGCGCGCAAAACGGGCCACGAAAAGGAGGCTGACACCTATATTGTAGGCAGCACCTTTATTTTATGAACGAGAAAGGAATAGATTCAAAACGTATTTCAATATGACTCTCGGGCAGCACGCCATACGTAATCCGCCGTCACTGCGGAGTACAGCTGCAGTTCTACTCCGCACCTCAAATTCTTCAAGTCTCCAGTTTCATTGCCATACGGAGTATGCCGTCTAACAATCCTATTCCGGGGATGTCTTCGGTCGAGTGGAGCAGAGGGGACTGGACAAAGTGGAATGGAATAGTACGGAGTATGGATGCCAACCAAATCTCCGAGTTCATACCGTTGGTGCCACAGGGTCTAGGTCCATGGTTGGGCCTGGAATGTACACGGAACAGGTATTGGATGTGTGGTCAGAACTCTAGGTCATTTTGATTGCTCATGGTAACATAGTCAGCACCCTGATCGGGTTGTTGGTATTGATTATGCAGGTTCTGTTGGACAATACAAGATTATTGCCCTGTGCCCTGATTAGGGCTGAGCTGGAAGTGAGTCTAGACAAGATCGATAGCTAGAGCCAAGTCCATGTATTCACACAATAATCTAAGATCGGCACTATTCTCTCACTAAAAACTAAAACTCGAAAGCCCAGACCAGCAGTGGAGGATTCCAGGTTAAAGGATTAGATTACGTGTATAAGAATGGTATGCAAATGAAATCTGCCCCAGTCTCAGCTCAGCTTTGTCTCACGCATTGTCCAATCGAATCGGTATTGGCGCCCCCGGGTCAATACAATACACGTCAGACTGTTAAAAGGCTGCAGTACATGTGTATTCTGACCAGTCCTCCCTGGGGTGCATTGCGACCGTGGAAATCAGGATACACGTCATTTTCAAGGCGACCGAAGAGATCTGAATAATAACCTTTGTGAATCCGCACCGTGGAAGAGAGCGGATATGGTATCCCCCTAAGAAACTTCGGAAGAAACTTAGAAAAGAAAGAAAACGGGTGCTGTCTCTGATTGGCCCAGTAGTCAGGTACGAGAGGCAAAATATGTGGGTCGTCTGACCCCAGTAGGCAGTAGGCTCGTAGCATCGGTTGAAACAGCCGTCGGTCTATCCCCAGAGGAGATTAGGGCCAGGAGAAAAATGGCTTATGTGGCGCACAAGCCCCTCGTCTCTGGTTTTCGTTCCAATGAGGATCTACCGGGGCATCCGGCTCGGGTACTAGGGAAGTTAGAATTGTGATACTGTCCTCCGTCCTCCGTGTGTAGTGTCCGATGCAGGATATGAGGACGACGGAGAAGAATGAAAGAAAGTGAGTTGTCCATGGTACGATCGTGGCTTGATTTGGACCATGGGTTCAGGCGATAGGTGGGTCCGCTAGTAACCTTTGAGGTGGGCCAGTTTTCCTCTTTGGTGCCCTACCGGGGGCATTTTATAAAGTCGAGACCCTTCCCCCCGTTTTCTTTCTTCCTTCAGTCCATTCCTTCCTTCCCGCTCACTCACGTTCCTTTCGAGTGCCCGAATCTTCCTGCTGTGCAGTTGAATCAATCCTTTAAACAACTTCACACAATACACTCCCTCGAGTCTCTTCCTTCACAATGGCTCCTATCACCAAGACTCTCGCCCTCGCTGGCGCTTTCTTCGCCTTGACTGGCTACTCGGCTCCCGTCGCCAAACGCGCCGTCGTTTGGGAGACCGTCACCGATGTCGTTTGGACCACCATCGATGTGACCACCACCATCTACCCTCAGTCCACTACCAGTGCTGTCGTGCCTGTGGTTGCCACCGCCGTCCCTACCACTACCGCTGTTCCTGCTCCTGTTGTTGTAGCGTCCACCAAAGAGCAGGAGGCTGCACCCGTTACCACCTCGACCACCTCCTCCGTCGCTACCACCACTGCTGCCGCTGTTCCTACTGTGGCCCCTGTCAAGGAGGAGGCTGCGCCCACCACCTCGTCCACCACTACTGCTGCCGTTGTCCCTACCGTTGAGGCCAGTGTTCAGGAGGCTGCACCAACCACCACCTCCTCCACTGTCCCCACTACCACTGCCGCTCCCCTTGCTATCACCCTGGAGGCCGATGCCTACTCCGCTCCCACTACCACTGCAGCGGCTGAGACATCTTCCACCGCTGCCTCTACTGCTACCCGTGCTGCCAGCGTCGATGTTAGCAGCAGCGGCGGCGCTTGCTCTGAAGGCTCCCCTTGCGACGGTGACATCACCTTCTACGACACTGCCACCACTTCCACCAACCCCAGCTCCTGCGGCACCACCAACGATGGTACCGTCGAGAACGTTCTCGCCCTGCCTCACGGTATCATGACCGACAGCGACTGCGGCAAGACCGTCACCATCACATACAATGGCCAGACCGCTACCGGTACTGTGGTCGACAAGTGCATGGGTTGCGACAACAACTCCGTCGATCTGTCCCGTCACTTCTTCGGCGAGCTGGCCCCCATGGACAAGGGCCGTGTTTCCGGTGCCAAGTGGTACATCAACTAAACGTTGCGTCGACCGCGCGTTGGTGTTGATGGCCACCATTATGAATATGAACAATGGACACATCTCTGGTAGATTGCGCACACGGATATGGTCTTGACGACTCTTCCTTTTTTTTCCCCCTTCTTCTCACTTCACTGTGATCTTTTTTCCCCTTCTTTCCCGGTCTCTCCGAGAATCAATCATTCATCACTCGGAGAGACTGGGCCTTTTTACCTTTCGTCCACTCTCTTGACCCTGGATCTTTTTTTACGATTTCATGTGTCCCTAGTGGACCGCATTCATATTTTCCCCATTTTCATGTTCATAGAATCTTCTTCTCTTCGGAGTCTTCTTGTGCAATACCACCCTATGATGGACCCCATTCGGCCATATCACATATCCTTACGATCCCTGCGCGCATGCTGGCAAGTCATGGACGGTTTGATTCTCTTGACGAGACCTCGAACATGCACATGCGACAGGCAATGATGATTACGATGATCACGCTCGTGAAACAAAAAAAAGGCATATTGCAGGAGACGGATCATTGAATGAAACTTGTTTCGTTTGACTCGTGTTTGCTTTACTGCGTATTCGTAGTTTCCAGGTATCATTTGGGGAGCTGTATTCCGTATTGCCCCTTTCCACTTTTGAGACTCCCAAAACGGAAATGAGCTAGTTATAGCAATGCAAGGCTAGTGACTATCATTACGGGTCCATGCTAAGACAACTTCTCATCACTTCTAGTTTGGGATGTTCAATTGCGGGCCTCTCTGTCCAGCCAAGTGAGGCTATGCGTATAGATATCGTCTCAAATTTGGATCTGCTGAGAAGTGCCGGCGATCTCTCTCCTGTCTATGATTTAGCCCTGAGCCTCGTCAACGACTAGCGATCATAAAGCCCAGCCCAATCGAACATTACATCGTTCCTCGGCGTTCTAATAACAACATCAATCTGTGACTTATGCGACGAAAGACTAGCGCTGACACCGAAAACAAGTCAGCTCAACCAATTTCAAACAAACAAACGAAACGAGACGAAACTCACCGCTAGGCGTCCCTGTCATAATAACACTTCCCTTCTGTACCCTGCGCAAGATACGGATACGCGCAGTCAAGACAAAATATCCGCAACATACTCTTCTCGTCTAATCTCCCCATGCACACTCGTCTTCGGCGGTAGCTTACTAGGGGCAGATATCTCGTCGCAGTAACAAGACACGGTCCCAGCGGCGCAAATATATCAAACCAACAATTCTATAAAACTGTAAAATGGCATTTATTGACTTCGTAAGATCATCTGCCTGTCAACTTAAACAAGCAGCAGCAGCAGCAGCAGCAACATCATCATAATCTATAAAACAACTAAACAACAGCCATCCACCCACAATCCCCAGATCAAGCCGGTACATATGGCTTATCACTCCTAACAATATAAACCTCCCCAGCGAGAACCGCACACCCAACCACCATCGAAATAGCAATAATAGGAAGATTCACACGGGCAAATTCCAAACTCCCAACACGGATATGCTTCCTCGCCAAAATATCCCGCCACAGCAGCCCAGCCAGCGACGCACTAAACGCAGTACTGAAAGCACCATAATTGACACCGAGAGCCATGCTGTAAACGGTAGCCCACCATGTGCGATCGCTGATAGGGATTCCGCTGGCTTCGTGGATCTTCTGCCATGCCTGGATGACGCGCGAGAGGAGGATCGTGGTGCCGATATTTGTTCCGGCGAACTGGATGATTAGAAGATGACGAGTTAGCGGAAGAAAAAGAGGCTAAGTCTATTTTCTGTTGTCCCAATCCTTACATTGCACAGAATCACAGATAGGAAGCCCATTCCACCGATACTGCCGATTGTCCCGGTCTTTTCGACCCAGTGGTCCCAGCCGTACGCGAAAACAGGCACCCAGCCCTTGGTGACGAGCGCCTGTACCAGGATGAACATCGTGAACGCGAAGGGTACTAGTGCGAATGGCATGTGGGAGACTACGACTGTCGTCGTGGGGAATGTCTCCTGGGACCATTTGTAGAGATCGGTAGCGAGTGATACCAGGCTGCATGGGGCGCTGTCTTGGTGATATGGATATCCTGGGTTCTCCTCGTATATCGTTGATTCGGTGGTTTGTGGCGAGTCCAGTGTCTGGGTATATCCCGGTTTCCCATTGTATATCGTCGAGTCGGTGGTTTGTCGCGAGTCCAGTGCCTGGGGAGAACTTGCACGAGCTAGTTGTTTGCTGTCCATCACAACACCGCCTGGTAGCTGTAGTTCTGGGAACTTTTCCTTGTCAACGGGCACAGAGACTGACAAGGGCGTTCCGCATTCTGGATCGAAATCCTTCGAGGCGATATCACTATCGGTGCTCTTGAGCGAGATGTCGTAGTCTGTATGCTCACTGCGGTGGTGCAGGCCTGATGCATCATATTGATCCGCCTGGTCCGATGTCAACGTCCCTGGATCCATCTTTTCCGGCAGCGCTATGCGTTCGCGCATTTCTCGCTCTGTCCGTGCTTGCTCAACCTCCCGTCGACCCTTCGCGGAAATCTCACGGGTTTCTTGGCGATGGAGCCAGCCGAAGACGAGATCCCAGCAGAACATAACGAAAGCAGCGGGTAATGTGACCCAGAAAACGGGATGCTCTTTGCCTGATGCATTGATTGCCAGGAGGGTGATAAGCGTGGTGGCCATAATCAAACCCCCAAAAGATGCACCCTTCCTATCTAAGAATGGGTTCATGATCTCTTCTAGTGAGAGTTGCTTTCCCTCCTTATCATCAGCTTCCTCTTTCTCCTCGGCGGTTCCTCTGGCATGAGGGATGTTGGGATTCACAGGTGCTTTTTTCTTTTGGTCCTCGGACAGCTCGTGCATTGTGATAGAGAGAGGAATGAGGGATTCGTCTGCGAAAATGATATATAGCAGGAACGGGAACAGGATAATCGCCGTGACGACTACGGGAACGATCATGTTGGCCGTGTAGACGATGAACTTGATCTTGAAAGCGCCGGCAAGGACCAGGTTGGTGGGGTTCGAGGAGACGAGAATCGCAGAGGCGATGTTGGCTACGGCGAACTGGCTGTGGATCCAGGCTCGGGGGTGGACGATATTGCTGGATACGCGGGTCATGTATGCGAGGAACGCCGTGCCGGATAGGATGATCGGGTCGTTTCCGATGAAGCTGCCTAGTCCGAAAAAGAAAAGGAACAGGTAGAAGAAGAGTCGGTGGCCGACCTTGCCTGCTTTTTGGAGGACCTTGAAGGCCAGGTATCTGATGAGGCCGGAGGCGTCAATCGAGATGGCAATGTAGGCGAGTGTGAGGAAGAAGACCATGATATCAATGGGATTGATGTTGTCTGCGCCGACTATTCCATCGTGTACCTCTTTTCGGCCGATTGCCAGAATCGCGAGAAGGAATAGGTCCGCTGTTAAAGGTGCCGTGATGAAGTTCAATGGAAAGCAGAGTTTCACGAAAATGGGTTGCTTTTGATTGTATCGAGGGCGAGTCCGGTGTGGTATTATGCGTATGACACTTAATAGGTCCAGAATCCCGTTTGTGAGCCATCGAGGCACGTATATAGGGATGTGAAATGGGAAAAGGACAATTATATCTGCATCGCAAGAAACAAAAGTAAGTCTTCGTCTCACATCAGGCCTAACCAGACTTACTAGTTATAACAAAAATAATTAGGGTGATGATTGATCGCCAACTTTTGATTTCCGAAGTATCCAGTTCGTCGTCCATTTTGAATGTTTGCTTCTTTTTCTGAGATTCACTTCAAGAATATAATAGCTGTGGTCGTGTCAGCCCCTCTATCGTACTTCCGCCGTAGTCAAGTCATGGTGACAAAATACCAGAATGCGGAACAGGAGAAAGTTGCGTAGCGAGATCCAATCCTTGCTTTTATTGCAGACGCATTTCTCTTTTGCAAAAAGAAAATCCGAAATAACGCGACAAATATGACGATCTTACTTGGTTCCTGTTGGAGAAATTTTGTCTGCGAGTTGCTCTCCATCCATATGCTTGAATGCAAGGGAAACCAAGAAATTTTCAAAATGCAGAGAAACCAAGTGCACTGCCCCTCATAATCACATGGACAAGCTCAGATGATTGTGACTTGGGCCGCGGAGAGGTGAGCGCCCTGCTAATGAAGGGCTGAATAATAATATCTCTGTGCTACGAGTGGGTTTATGGATGGATAAATTAAGGTTATACTAGAAGCTGGGCGAGTTTTTTTAATATTGATATCATAATGTGATAGTGGGATGGACAGGAAAGAAACTTCCGCCGGGTCTGAGGACCTGATGTCTAAGCCTCAACGAAAAGATCAATCAGGAAATAGTACGACATGCACGGGACATAGAGAACATTCTGATTAGCTTAGATTAGCTCTGGGCAAAAGTGCCAATAACAAGATTCGAGGCTATTAGAGACTAGCGAAACTGGGAAACCCCGCACTCTGCCACTTTGGGAAGTTGTCCGTGCGTTGATGTTAGCTTTAACGTTGGCCGACCCATGGTTCGGTCAATATCAGACCCAGTCTTTTTTGGGGGTTCTCGTGAGTTGAATCATTCAATATTTCCTACTTTTCCTACGTTATCGCTCCAGTTGCTCGTGAGGACCTCGATAAATGCGTAAATGCATACAACACATACACCGCATGATATGTACGACAGGCCCTAACGTGCCAATCAGCGGGAGCTGATCTCGCCACATCTCGTATTCCGCCCGGGTTTTTGCGCCCGCCCAAGTCAATATCATGGGGCACTTATCGTTTCGAGGGTTAGGCATTGATCATAAAGGTTCTTCCTGGGTCTATCCAATCCCAGCTAGATCGAGGCTCCAAACCCCGAAATGAGGCTGTTGCTGACGAAATAGCTGCATGCTCTGTTGGTCATGGTCAATCCACGGAGTAGCGCTTCGTGGATAAGACGGCCTGGAGACTCCTTGCTTTACTTTCCTCTTCTTTCTTATGATATCCCGGCGAGCTTCATTAAGTCACTGCCAGGAATAGAGAACAACACATTAATATATGATTTTTTTGCTGCTTTATCCCGAAGTTACCGTTACCGGAGGCGGATAACATCCAATGCCAGCAATCCCAATTGTTACCTCCTTCCTAGAGCAAGTTCTCGTGCATCGTGCTACTGCACCGCCCCCTAACGTGACAGTGTCTGCAACTTCCGCATCACTCCAGGTGGTTTGCGCCTGGCCAATATCAGGCCAATATGGACCGGGGACCCGAGTCCTGTGGGTTTTCCGATAATGGTGTTGCCATGATATACTAACATTTACTCCAGATACTATGTCTTGATTGCAGCCTGCGTGGTCGCTCGCAAAGTAGAATGGATTCGGAACGCTTGTCTAGCCGCTGTGTTGCTTTTCCCCGCTATCGCCGCTCTTCACGGGATTGTGCTTGCTGCGCTTCATGTTGACGGTGAGTCTAATGAAACTTTGCCCCGGGTTTCCTCCTGGTGTGACCCAATCTGATACTATATAGGCGCTGTCGATATGGATGTATATGGAGCATTCCAGCTATGCGCAATTGGAATCTTAACCGCCCCAGCGACCGTCAGGCTTTCCCGGACCTACTTCAACAACCCCGGCCGCAATATCATCTTTCTATGGACAGTCCTTCTCCTGGCTGGGCTAGTAAGCTTGATTGTGGAATTCATGCGCCTCAAGCCCACTACTTGCCCGGATGACGACCCAGCAAGCATTTTCTGGGCCTCAACTGGGGGCAAAAAGGGCGGTGTGTTTAAGTATGACTCTAACTGTAGCCTTGCTTGTACCCCGGAGAATGGGCCAGTCTCACCGTTGCGACTTGATGCAGCCAACAATATATACGTGATTCCAGTCCCCCACGAGCTGACGTTCAATGCTACTACGCTAATTGCGGCTGCATGCTGCATCCCTGCCATCCTGTCGTTAATATTTATGTGGATCAAAATCTTGGACGACAATTGGGAGAAGTTCTCAAATGGAAGACAGAAGCAGAAGCCAGATGATTTCATTCTGGGAACCAACGGAGCTACCATCAACCACATGACTGGGATCACCGACAGGATAAGCAAATGGCTATCTCTCATCGAGATACCGGTGTTTGCTGCAGCAGTGCTGGCAATCCTCGTCAAAGGCGAGATGAATTTTTGGAGTAAGCAAATGAGGTACCAAACAGAGCCTATACAAAGCATTGGTAAGTGGATGTTGCACCTCGCCTGGTTTTGGCGATTGGAAATAAATTTACTAAAAGAAATCGTTAGGTCAATGGGCGCCAATCGTTGGTACAGTACTCGCTGTATTGGGATCACTATATATGCTCCTTTCTGCGGATATGGAAGCCGCGGGACAAGAAGATGACCAACAAGAAGAGATTATCGTTGGAAAATCCCCAAACTACGACAGCACTGTTTCATACGCCGGAAGCAGTTCCGCGCAAGATTCTAGAACAAGTGCCGAGAGACAGGACTCGGATATCGAAATGACAACTATACGCCGCCCTACTACCAATCAAACCACCACCACTCAATCCCAGCACGACTTAGGAAGACGAAAGGTCGCCCGCTTCTTTAATGCAGCAAGCGCCATCATGACCGCCAAAGCCCACAATCAAATCAAGAAGACGGGTTTCAATCCCGAAGCAAAAACAAATTACCCCGAGATCCCAGGAGAAATATACAGAAACTCATATCTCCCTGATCATAAAGCCCATTACCAAAGGTCATCTACACCCGATAACCGATCAAGAGCTGAAAGTTTCACAAGTCGCAGGAACTCTGTGGATAATGGCGAAGGCAGCTCTGGGCCCCGGAGTACAACACGTCATTCTGTGCCTGCTCCAGCTGTCTCGCGGCCAAAATCACGCCAAGCTCACTCAAATTCGCTCCCGGGTGGGGGGTTATTTGAGACATCGACCCTGCAGTGTCCTCCAGCCACACTTGGAGGGTGGCAGCGACAATTGAGTCCCTTCGATACAATGTCGATCTCACGAAGTAGAACACCGTCTATTTCCGAGGTCAGCCCCACAAATTCATCGCCGGGACCTCAGTTCCTGCCGGAGATAGTAGTTTCTGCCCATGAAGGTAGTTGATTGTTTTGCATATGGTGTACTGATGCTCCGGTACTCTAATGGTGCGTGGTTATCTTTTCTGTTTTATTTTCGGAATTCTTTATGATCCCACGAGTTCATTATGTCTAGGCTTATATGGTGTATATTACAGGGTTTCTTCATATAGCACATTCATGATAAAGTGTCATCCTCTCATACCTCAGGCATAATCACGTGATAAGCAATGTGGTGGAGCGGACCCACCTTCCCCTTTAGGAAGTGTTTGTTCCTATATATTTCATAGCAACACCTTCCCCCTAACCGACATTCCCCCAGTGGCTGAGTGTGTTGACATGCGTTTTAAATGCTAGTTTAGGTCCTAGCTGCCAGCGTTCGACCCACCCAGTGCACGGTCATAAATGTTCCAATTATGCTCCCCTAATTGCCCACCTTGCTGGTACCGGTCTGGACCCGCTGGAGCGCGCGAGATCGATACGCGCGCTCTGGAGGTCCGACAATGTGTGCCTGCAGTTGGGGACGACTAGATCTTAGGGTAAAGCTGGTTGGGGTTACTTAAGCATTATGATCCCCTAAGTGGCGACCTGGGAGTATAACCCCAGGCACTGGATGGGAATGTCCTTTTTTTGCCATTTTTCCCCTCCTTCTACTTTTCTCTAAAGTCTGTCTCCAACAATTTATGCCTGCCTTTCCTCTCCCCCACAAAGCTCATTGACGCTTACTACAGGTATCTATCATGAGAACAGAGACAAGGGGAATACGCTTGGAGGGCAACATTGTCAAAATTAGCGTCGGTAGTTATTACTGTCCAGAATTATATGTATCAACTACCAAATTATCAGCTATAACCCTTCAACCCTCAGGCTCCTTTCTCCCCTCAAGTCTAGCCTGATGCGCCATTTTTGAGATCAGAGTCGCCATTCCAGCATGATGGCAGCTGGTGCGAGGCTCCTTTTCCGGCAAGATCTCACCCTCCTGCCCATCAAGCTTAGAGAAGTCCAAAGACTTTGGTTTATCACAGTTATACTGTGCATTGGCGGCACGAAGAAGGCAGATCTCATTTTTCATGCAGTCACCATTGCAGCTCTCAACTTCGAATCCGCGAACACGTCTCGCCCAATAATCTTGGAAAACCGTGGGATCGCGTTCCATCGCGACGGTGACATTGTGCCAGAAAGCTGGACTGATCTCGGCTTGTGGATCCGTAAGCGGAGGAGAGATCTTGGATCCATAGTCTGCCTTCGCGGAGTAATAGGGCAGCCATTCTGGCTTTGTCTGAAAGGACGGGTCGCTGATGTTGGCGATGTATTGAGTGTAATCCAAGACGCCGAAAGTGACTGGATCAATTTCGTAGACGCGGAAAGAGGGCGAGCCTTCCGTTGGCGTTACGGCTGGAATGATATAACCCATTGCAGTAGCTGTGTTCCAGTCTCGGTCGTTGTAGTCGGAGTATGCGATCTGGAACCCATCCCGGTGTGTATGACCATAGAATAATCCCGCGATGGTGGCTTCGTAACGCTGCACAATTTGGTCGAAGTAATCCGAATGGTCGCGGAAGTGATCTGGTATACCGGATGGTATATGAGAGATTAGCCATGCACGTTGGCCCGCGTCCTCGGCAGCCTGCAGTTCCTTGATGAGCCATTCAAATTGTCCTCGTGGGTCTTTCTCCATTGGTTCCTGGTACATATAGAAGTTGAATACGTAGTAGAAGATGCTGTTATAAGAAATGATGCGCAGATTGCTGTTGGGATGGACGGCTGAGTACGACGCGAATTGATCCGCAGATTTGACAGAAGAAACACCTGTGAGGCCATACCAATCTTCTGCAAGAGCCGAGTACGCCCATTTGGGATCAGCTTTATTCGAAGCATCCGTGGGAAAGAGGTTGAGTGGTGCAGTGTCATGATTCCCTATTGCAGCATACACAGTGCCAATGTCCTTTTCCATTGCACTGTACGTAGCATTGAGCGCTTTCAGAGCTTCGGCCTCGTCAACCAACCAGATATCGTGGGCCACCACATCACCGGTGTAAATGGAGAACTCCGGATTGATGTCTGCGATAGCAGCATGCAAGCTCTCCTGAAGTATTTGTGGTGCGTCACACTTCGTATTTCCAAATGGTCCACATGGGTAGGCTGTATTCTCTGGTGAATATTCATCCGACCAAGATCTGCAACAGATAGGCTTGGAACACTTGTAGCTAGATTCAGGCTCGTAGAGGAGGTCCACGTGTGTATCGCTGAAATGGACGACCTTGAGCGGTGTCTTGCCGCTAGGTGGTGGCCTCACAGTCTTTGGCTTGGGTGAAGGGAACGTCAAATTATAGGAATGAACATCGGGTTGCTTGCAGAGCCCGACCAGATTAGCGCATAGTGTCTTTGAGGCGTCAGAGTTCAGTTGTAAATGTTTGAAAACATCATGCAGCGCAGGGCCTTCTTTCTTGATGATCCCGGCGCAGACATCTGGGTCCTCGACCTGTGCACTTGCGATTAATGGGATTGAGTCAGTAAGCTCACGAGCATGGCCAACATACCCTGCTGATTTTGCACAACCCTGTGAATACGTCGATCATGAAATTCTCACCAAGCCCTGCGGCAACTTTGATGCTGCCGAGGAGAATCTGTATAATTGCATAGAGTCAGCAAAGGAGTCAATAGAATGGAAGTGCTAAACATAAGCATACTTGGCAAGCACCGCAGTCAACTGTATTCTTGAAGTCGTCCCAGATAGAAGCGACGGACTGGTCGACTTGAGTCTCGGCTTGTACGCCCCGGAGAGACGCCGAAAGGCCGAACGCCAGCAGCAAGAAGTTGAGTCTCATCTTGACGAGGAGTTGGCTAGATGAAACGGCTGATTGGATGAAGACAAACCTCGGAAGCAGTCAGGGCACTTCGTACCTTCCCAGCATTGATGTGAAACTCCTAGGCAGTCGGCATCTTAAATATCACGGGCCAAGAGCAGCTGGGCAGGCCCTTCCGTACTTTGCCAAATAGAAGGTGATCCTACAGCTGCTTGCTTAGATTTTATTCGGTTCAGACATAACCTTAGGACAACTTTTTATCATGTGATGAGCAGTAGAGTAGTATTCATATCCCCTCCAGGTCATAAAAATAGACCACGGTCTTTTTGTGGCCTAGTGGTAATACGCTGTATTATTTCGAGAAACGCAGCCAAGGAGCTAGCAGATAGTCCCTTGTAACGTTGCGAAGCCGCTGATCTCAGGGGCTGATTATCATACGCCATTGGGGTATCCTTGGCATGTTCGCATACTCGTGAACTTGCTCTTAAATAGGAGTCGCGGTGTTCAAACAAAAAAAAATTTAGTACCAAAATATAGATGAACAACCAGAAGCTTATCTAAATGTAGATATGCACACCAAGTTCATACGGTAAAATCCGATCGAATGCACCAGTCCAACCATTGTACATGTCAGGCTCAGCACTTGCAGGATTCTTAGTAAATAAATTCTTGAAATCTTATGGGTAGGAGGATTGGTTCGAACGGATACTTGCAGGTGTTGATCTGGGGTAGAAAATCAATATCCGGGCTCGGGTCTGCTGCTTGGGCGTATTAGGAAGGAGCTTCAACTTTTGGCCTGATGCATCACACTAATAATTGGCGAATAGACAGATCGCTGTCGATCGCAAATCCCCAACCCGTCTGTCTCACAACAGAACTTCCTCTGCTGAATCCCCCAGCGCGCAGCCTCGCAGACTCGGCCAGATTCAATAAAATGACTGCCACGTGTATTTCAAGAACTTTGTGACTCCGGAATGTGGAATGGCTCATGTGCAGGAACCATAAATTGCTTATATAGGCGCGGACCAGCACAGCCCCTGACAGAATACTCGCGCAGGTATCCATGCGACAACAATCATAGTATCGTGTCAGTCTCACGGGACTCTCGAATGGGTTGAGTAAGATATTGTTGGTTGGTTGGATTTCGTCATGGATTGGGGTCAGCTCGCTTTGGTCTGTTGTGCCATGTTCATTGGATGAGCCAGCCATATGTGGGGATCTTCATTAAGGAACAATCCCTGGACAGGAATAGTATTTGCATGCTGTGTATCTGTGTATTCGTGTAGCATTATAGCCTCATAGATGTACATTGAAAATAAAAAGGGACAAGGAGAGAAGTCCAAGGTGATTGGCGGGCCAAAGCCGGGGTAAAAGGATCTAATTTTCTCTCTCCCCACATTCTTTTTGACGTGTTTACCATCTTTTCCTTCAACCCCCTTTTCCTTTCTATCTCAACATCTGTCCAAGTATTTTAATCTCTGCTGTTCTCCTTCTTCTCCCCCCGTCCTCCATATTCCGGATTCGGACTCCGTCGGGAAACGAGACGATGACGCCTCCGTACACGCGCCATTTCAGCACGCTTACGATCACGATCTTACAATAAAATCCGAGAGCTTCAACCGTCTGCACTGTTCTGCGCTACGTGTGATTGTTAAAACCGGACTGTCCGTTGGGGCAGTCCGCCATCGGCCAAATTCGTCATGGAGGGTCGTCAACAAGCCACGCTGGGTGTTTCGATCACCCTTTTCTCCATCGCCAGTCTATTTGTCGCCCTTCGCTTCATTTCGCGTATATTTGTGGTCAGAAAGATTGGGTTACACGACTGGTTGATGTTGGTCGCATGGGTAGGATCCCTCGGCTTGATCCCTGCATGTACCCGGGGATGTAGCGAGAATGCGCTCTATTGGGCACATGATCGAACCTCGTGCTGGAGCTCGGAGGCTAACTAGTCTGCAGTTCATCGATTTTGGCTTTTCCTTCTCGCTATTCTACGCCGTTCGGAAGGGTCTTGGCCTCCATTCGAGTGACATTAAGCCTGAAGATGAACTCGCTTTTAATACGGCTAATTATGCATTTACGGTCCTCTATGTGAGTTACAATGCCATTGTTACTCCCCCTGTTACCCCGCAGGCCAATACTGAAATGAACGGCATGCTGACGATATTTCAGAATCCTGCGCTAATGGCGGTCAAGACGTCGATCCTCGTCTTCTTCCTGACCTTGACACGCAATCAAAAAGTATTCCGATGTGCAAACTATGTCACTCTATTTGTAGTGAACGCAGCGGGCTTTGCTTTAACATTGGTCAATGTTTTTCAATGTCGTCCTCTCAGCGCAGTATTCCTTTCTGACATCCCGGCCCATGCGAGTTGCACCGATATTGTCACCCTGTACCTTTCCTCGTCCCCGGTGAATATTATTACGGATCTCGCGATCCTGTTGCTTCCGATGCCGCTTTTGACAACAATGCGCCTACCTTACAAGCAAAAGATTATTTTGGTGGTCACTTTCTCCTTTGGTTTCTTTGTGGCCGTGGTCGATGTGGTTCGAATTGCCTTTCTCCAACAGGCTGCCATTTCTCGTTCGCTGGAAGTCAAGTCAATTCATATCCAAAACATCGGGGGGGTTGATTTCAGTTGTACGACTCGCTCATCTCCGTATTCCAAATTAACGCGTCAATTGGGCTAACGATGGGATTTCACAGGGTACGCGTCGCTATCTTTCATGTGGTCTGTCGTCGAAGTCAACATCTCGATAATCTGCGGTTGTGTCCCGAGTCTCAAACCTCTGGTCACTCGTCTTGTTCCGAAATTGATTAGAGACACTGGTGACGAGACATCAACTGCTTCGCCTCATGGACTCTCTGCAGGCCCAACAGGAGAAAGTCAGGTTGCAGTGCCACCCCCGGCTGCAGTCTCGGGTTCGCCAGAATTTCAATTGCCATTGCCATTTCCATCGAATAACAACGGGGATAAGGGTCTACGGAACCAAGTTGGTGGTGTCTCCACTGGGCGACCTAGCTCCCGGGACTCGGAGCCTATGGGTATAATGGATTTCCTAGGTATCCCAGAAACAGGGGCCCTCGATACAGAGGGAGGCACCAACACGAGCGCATCTTATGCACCGGATATCACATTCTTCGATTTTGTCAACATGAAGAATCCGGAAAGTATGCTAAAGCTGAACAACAGAGAGTCGATTACGCCAATTGCATTGACCACACTACTATTCTTCCTTTGGGGTTTCGCATACGGCTTGCTTGATATTCTGAATTCTCAATTCGAGACTATCGTCAATTTAGGTCCTTGGCATTCCTTGGGTCTTCATGGCGCGTACTTCGGCGGATACGTGGTTGGCCCTCTATTGGTTGGCCGACCGGTCTTGAAAATATGGGGCTTCAAGTCCACGTTCATCACTGGACTTTGCATCTATGCCTGTGGAACCCTCATATTTTGGCCTTCCGCTGTTCTGACGTCGACACCTGCGTTCATTTTGTCAAACTTCATTGTCGGGTTTGGGCTAGCAGTTTTGGAGACTGCGGCAAACCCGTTCATTGCGCTATGCGGACCACTCGAGAATTCCGAGATCAGACTCAACATTTCGCAGGGTGTGCAAGCTATTGGAAGCGTATTATCGCCGCTCCTAGCGAAACGTGTTCTCTTCAAGAATGTTCAGGATGTCGCATCCTTGGTTGACGTACAATGGGCATATCTTGGCATTGCTCTGTTCGATGTGCTGTTGGCAGTGGCGTTCTATTATCTACCAATCCCCGAAGCGTCAGATGAAGATTTGGAAGAACTAGCAAATCGACGCCGAGAAGACAATATGACCAAAGTCATCGGTATTCCGGTCGTTTGGCTGACCCTCGGCCTGGGAGTCTGGTCTCAATTCTTCTACGTGGCTGGACAAGAAGTCGTTGCGACAGCTCTCCAACGTTTTGTTCTTGCCGCTCGTCCAGATTCATCACTCAAACCATTCGATTTCCTGACTATTGGACACAGCATTTTCGCCGTGGGCCGCTTCTTCGCCGCGTTTGCGCAATGGTTCCTCAAACCACGATGGATTCTTATGGTCAGCTACATCGGCATGATCGTCTGCTCAATTCTTTGCATGAAAACAAGCGGCACGGGGGCAATCGTCATGGTAATGCTAGTCTACCTATTCGAGAGCGGTGCATTCAGCATTATCTTTGCCATTTCCCTCCGCGGCACAGCCCAGCATACGAAAACAGCCGCAGTCTTCATGACAGCGGCAATTGGCGGCGGCACCTTTTTCCCGTTTGCCGAGTACGCGGCATACCTCGCACACGGCGGGTCATACTCCTTCTGCGTTATAGTCGCGCTCTTCTGCGCCGGTGCCATCTTCCCCATCTACCTCAACCTCGTACCCGCCGTGAAAAAGCAAGTCGACCCGGTTCCGAACGAGTATCTCCGCCGACATCGCCGCCGACCTCGGACCTCGATCGAGACCGTGCATCGCGAAAAGAGCAATCCTTCTCTTGGTGGTGTTCTTTCCCATCCGCGCAGTCTGGCATCGAATCCAGATCACCTACCGGATCTTCTGCTTCCGGAGGAGATGCACGAAAACTCGCTTGCTCGCGATTTTTCAGGGGCTAAATCTAGTTTTAGCTCTACCTCGCGTGCCAAGTCGAATTCCTCTCGCAATTCTGGTTCAAAGAAAAAGTTCTCTACCAGAATTGATGATTTATGACTGTCGCTCAATATGCCTAACTGCTGTTTTTGTCTCTTTCCTTATACCCTAAACTTCACGATACTTGCGAACCCCTAGATACCCTTTCGCTTTTGCTTTTTGGGTTTTGTCACAATATTATGTCATGTGTCTTCTCTGTGCATATATTGGGCGGCAATCCTTTTTGCTTTTTCGCAGCATTTCAGCGATGGTGTTTTGACCAAAAGTTATTCCTTCTCTCTTAGCTTATCTGGTTTCATTGCTTAATGATATTCGAAGAATCTCATGATCAAACTTGACTTCTGGCTGGGATCAATTGCATATACCTAATTTGGATCTGATTGGTTCTCGACCATGAGGGTTCTCGTATGGCCCACCCTATCAAGATGTCGTGATCCTTGCCAATCACCCGCGGGCAATTGCAGCTCAGGCAGCACTACCTACCAAGTCTCGTTCCAGCCCCTTCTGCAACCTCATTTTAGCTTTCGCCTCAAGTCGGTTCGGGGTTGACCCATCTACGGATTTTAGATGTAGTCCACAACCTTCGAATTAAAGAAATATTTACAAGTCGATACATTCTATATATTTACACGTAGCATCTTAAGCTGCACGTAGCCGGGCGTGTTAACCAAAAAAGGGCTGTTTTGGGAACTTGCTCATTAAGCACTAGCATGAAAATAGCACTAGCAAGAAAATAGGTAGTTCTAGATTTATTGGCTATGTACTATATGAATCTCCTCGTACCCATAATGACATATATCATTCTTCAACCGAGCGCAGATTCCGTTTATATGCAAAGCAGCTGATACATTGTTTGCTATTCCTATGCAGCTTGGCAGACGGCAATCTCTTTATCCGCCCTGCAGAAACGCGGCTCGGCAAATCTCTCTTTGCTCATCTTGCGGAAGATGCTTCTCTAGAGGATACCTATGTGTCTTTGTCCACGAAGCTACATAGAGAGCTTTATGGCAATAGCTAGATCATCATTTTCCATCCACTTCATATCGTCATCATTCTGGTTGACTATTTTGCTTCTCGTGGTCTTTACCTCCATCGTCATCATATCTGTGTGATGATCTAGCTACTGTCACAAAGCTCTCTATATAGCTCTATGCTATAAACCACCAAATTCCATCCTCCAGAAACCAGAAGAAGCACCTCTATGGCATTTCTTTCACTTGCGGTTGATCACTTCTTCTCTCGTAGTCTGCGCCTTGATCAGATTCCCAATCCTTTCTATGTAATTTTGCGTGGGTCAAGGGTTTATCTTGGAGAGTGCCTTTTTAGACGGTTTCATGGTCAAAATATGTACCTCACTAGTAATTTTAGGTAGTCTGACATGATTTACTGAAGGTAGCCCATTAATGCTACTCACACTGTCTTCTTTGGATCGCCACAGATCTCCAAATCGCGAACTAGGTCGAGGGTGGAAATACCAGAGGAATGTCAATCCCGGCATTCCCCCTACTATTTCCCTCCTTCCCTAACAATTATTTAATTCCCCAACAAAGAACAAGGCCAGGCTAGAATACAGGATAGTACACTCAAACTGAAACCATGACCAAAAATCAGAGCCTCCGATGCAACACCGAAAAAGGTGTGATCTCGGAGATTTACCTTTTGATAGAAGCCAGTCAGATTGGATTCCGGCGGTGGCAAGGCTAGTGGAGCAAGCGTCGAACTAAAAAGCCTATAAGAAGGTTAAAAGCCTAGGCACGCCCCAGTCTCAGCTACGCCACGAGATAGTTCACAAAGCCTCATCTATTAGAGCTAATAAAGCGATGTGCCTGGAGTAACTACAATATAAGTAAATTTCTCGATAAAGTTTCGGAGTAGATTAAGTTATGCTTGCGATGCTCTATAGATATCACGATCGGTTCTTATATAGTCAGTCCCTACCGCCGTTAAGATTAGGCCTACGATTAGGCGTAAGAGCTAATCTGGTCCAAAACTCAAAGATGCTCTGAAAGATACATGTAACAATCAAGACACGGACTTATTGCCCGATTCTTCCATGATATTCAGATCGAGCGAAAAAAAGTCGCCCCCCTCAAACGCGCACAGCCATCCAACGGGCAGCCACCAGCGGTTGCCGTTCGGATTGGATCTGGAGAGTCCACAGCGGAACAAGCGCAAACCAGTGGGGTTGCGAGATTCAGCGATTTTTGAAACGGCGATTCTGTTCGTTTGGTACGATTCCCGACGGGGTTTCTTTTTTTTTTTTGGCTGCACTGGGATTGGTTGATTTATACAGACCGAAATGTAGCCTATTCTCTATTATACTAAACCGGACAGGTGGGATCGGCTTTAAGTTTGAATTCCTTTTTTTTTTCTCCACGTCGAAGGCGCAATCGCCCCAATGTCTGGCTCTCTGTATCTCAACTCCGGGATCATTCCGGAGCCTCGGGTGACTTCCGTTGTTCTACAGACCTTGTTGGAGAGTGTTGATTCTAGTTTTCATATGGATTATATGTATAGATGAATTACGTATATATCCATCTACCTATGCGATCTAGTAAAACCGAATAGGACAAAGAAAGCTCCCCCCCAATGATGAAACTCGTAACACAAGTCGCCCGTTACTAAATGCGTATTTTGCGCAGAAGCCAGCACCCATATCCTAATGTACAGGAACCCGTATTAATAAGAAGAACCCGCTGGACAGAACAAATGAAATAAACAAGAAACAAGATCGCTAGAGATGAAAAACCAGGAGCCAGACAGGGCTCTGGTGGACGCCAAGTCGCTGACCCAATGTAAAAAGACAAGAGTCGAAACAAGAACAGTCAACAGTGCTCGATGAACCTCAGCTGCGCGCACTCCGCGGCAGTGAGTTCTGCGAGGACGAGTCGTGCATGATATCCGGCGCCCGGGGACCAACCATCCAGTCTTCCATAGCGAGCCATTCACTCCAGCTGCGCTCGGCGGCCTCGATCTCGGCGTCCAGGGCCCCCTGCAACGGACGCAGGAACGGTATGGTCTCCAGCGGGGGGATGTCGTAGTCCTTTTTCACGGAGGCCCAGCCGCCGCTCTTGGCTGCGAAGAGGTAGTTGCGGCGCTCTTGCTCGTGCATGGGTCCCACGCCGCTGCCCCAGTCGTCGCCGAAGAAGCCGTGCAGCACGCCGGGGAAGTCCATGCCGGTTGCGACTAGGCGGCGGATGTAAGGGATCAATGAGATGGGGGGTGGCCCTGAGGGTTGTGTGCCGGGTGGGGAGGGTTGGTTGGAAGGGGTCGAGGTTGAGTTGAAGATTGGGTGAGGTTGGCGCTGGAAGGGGAGTCGGATGTTTAAGAATGTGGAGAGGGCCTGGACGGGGGCGCTGTGCTGGGCGTGATCTAGGAAGTAGCGTTGACAGCTTTGATAGCGGGGATACCATTCAAAGATATCGGAGTTGTCGTCTGACCCTGGCGAGGCGTCGGCTAAACCAATCACAGGGGCCGGGTCAATTTGTGGATGGGAGCTCATAGATGGGTGTGGTGAAGGTGAGTCCGAATAGGATGTTGAGGTCGAGGTCGAGGTTGCAGTTGGAGCTGGAGTTGCAGTTTGTAGTCCTGGAGGATCTACTTGTCTATTCCTTTTCCCGATGCTTTGCTTAGTTCGTGTTCTCTCTCTTCTTGGTCTGTTTGGGGCTGCGCCTCTTTCCCGAGGTCTGGGAATCCAGTGGGGTCGAATTGCGGCCCCAAGTTGAAGGAACCGGAGGGGTAGGTGGGTGAAAGATAGATTGGGGAATGATTACTTGGAAAAAATATCCCTACCTCGACGAACTAGGAGAGAGACTCGACGTCGTGAAGGGGAGGTTGGGGAGGGCGGTGCAGAGCGGAACAGATCCCTGATGGTCCCGAGTCCGCCACGAGATTGGGGCTTGTTGATGGACATCTGTTAGGGAACCATCTAGGATGTTCAGGTGAGGATTGGGGGATGTTCACGGAATACCCATTGGGGATATTATGTATGAAGCAAAAGAACCGGAGACATACATGTGAATTCCAATACCTCAAGAGGCAGAGGGAGGGAAGTAGAAGAGGAACCAGACGGGAGAACTGAAGTAAATTCAGAGAGAAAAAAAGATATCAGAATTGTTCTGGAACGTCCATAGAAGAGAAACGGGGTCTGTAGGACTAATAAGAGACGCACTCAACCTCTATACGGAGTATTTCTGAATCGGATCCATCGAGGACGGGTCTATCCGGTCAGGCCAATCATTCTGAGATCTGCTTAACCACGGGTCGACGGTGGATATCGATCTAGGGCAGGTTTTGGGAATTTTTATTTGATATATTAATATATTACGCTTATATTACACCTTTACCACATACATTCCCGATACGGAAGGCTCTCAATCCTGGATAACTCCCTATTTTGTCACAGATATCAATTACTTTGCACGTCTGGCACGTCCTATTGGCCCGGATCCGGGCATGCTAATAATACCTGTTCCTATAAAAGGCGTCCGGGTACATGACATAGCTGCATCGAAGCGTAACTAGATCAGGCTGGATCAGAAAGGGAAAAAAAGGGGGCCCCTTCAAGACCGGGACCTCCTGGTATGTGCTCAACCAATCTCAACCCGGGCTGGTACTCGCTGCAAGGCGCCTAGTCATGATTGAAATAATATTAGACCAGAGAACGCCTGCCTATTCCATGTCAGCATTGCCTCAGTATTAAGTGGACGACTAGTCAGAGCATAGCGTTAAATAGATTGAACCCTGCAGGGTAGTTCGTTTCGGTATCACTTGACGCAATAATTGAATCAAGAATCACACTAAGAGTGACGTTTTGATAGTGGGTTTCATATCTAAATCAAACACAGGGAGTTGATCTGTATACCATGTACCCCTCCTCCCTGCCAAGTTCCCACAAACCGGGTTCTTCAACATCGCATGCAGCACGCAAGACCCGGAATCCACTTTGTTGTTATCGACCCCGATCTTCGATCCGGGAACATTCCTTATTCTGATTGTATGCATTGCAAGGCTACGGAGTACTTCTTCCACCTCAATCCCCATTTGTTCAGGGGCCGCAATATGACACAAGCTTGCAAAGTCAGCCCCATATTGGCGTCACTAGAGCACACGCGCTAGGATCTACTTAAAAAAGGGCCAGAACATAGGAGAGCAGGGGCCACTCATCGAGCTGTGAGAGTCAGATCCCCCTTTAGCGGGGAGGTCAAGCTCTGACCCGATCGCGCCTCCCAGATAAGAAATGACAGAGCTGATCTTTAGGGGGGTTGACCATCCCGTACGGAATACGGAGCACTCCGTATGGAGTACGGCGACCTGCTTTATATTGTCTACTGATTAAGAATTCAAATCGCAGTTTGTGTGCGGGCGAGTTTTTGTAACTCCTTTTCTGGAGTCGATATGGGTCCCTTCAGCTGCACAAAATCTGGTGGCGCCGGGCCAGGGGTTAAGTAAAGGGCGGAACTATGTGCGTCGCATTCCCCTTTTGCGCTTTCTTTTTCGAGATTATACTGTCGGCTATTTCGATTGGGTCGAGTTTAATGTATTCATCACTGACCAATTCTAATATTGTGAATTCTAGCCATCCGATCAATCTATTCTCACTCACTTCCCCGTGGAATTCGCCACATGCGGAGCTCCAATCTGATCCACTCGTTTGCCATTTGACAGGTGACGGGGCGATTCTTTACAATATATGACATGTGTCTCTATTGAGCTAGGACTGCAGTTCGAGTCAGCCAGTCGGAATCACGAACTGGCAAGAAGTGTGATCACAAATCACAGCCTGAGATGCTCTTGCCAATTCGATCATAGTGCGCACGCTGCACGGTCTCGCCGATGTTTATGCGAATATGCGAAGACCACAATATTCTCCAAGACGGTAGTTTGGTATACCCGCTAGTGATGACAACCTATTGCCATTCTTGCGGAGCGGAGCCAACCCAGAACAGTGACACAACTCGGCCGACGCCATTGAGCTGCTAGAGGCTATAGCCTGTCTCAACTCAAGCGCGACGACAACTAGTACGCACGCAGTATCCACGCTCAGTTCCGCGGATACCCCTGTAAAGGTTGCGGAGCGGGTAGATAGATTAAGGGGAATCTCAAGCTGCTGCCCAATCACCACACTACCATACCCTATGCCAATGGTATAAAGCATTTGAAACAAGCCGGTCTGCATGGATATGTGTCGTTCCAAGACAGAGACAGCATGGTCGCATGACCAAGCCCTCTGCACTGCAGCTAGTGGGTATTCGGATAAAGCTCCGCAGCGAGTTGGCGACCGGGCTTCGTTGCCAAGAGTGTACGAGTACTCCATACAGACAGGGTTCCCGCCGACCGCCCTATGTACTCGTTATGTCAGAAGCGTCGAATTATGCCGGTGGTAAGTAGGTGTCACAACATCGCAACTTGCCACGCGCGATCAGTGCATCCTTCGCACATGTGTCGTGGCGAAGAACATGTACCACACCAATCCCAAGATGGGAGAAAACGGTGAACGTTGGACTTGCACCCCTTCGCGACAAGATCGCCGGCGTTTATATATCCATGCAGGGTCGAAAACGGTATATCAACCCACACCCGGCAGCCGACACGTGTCACCGCACATCTCTAGCAGATCAACATCCCCGACACGAATAGGAAAAACAATACTTAACCAGCAAACAGCGCGAAGATCATCGCATTATCTGATCCATCTCCTCTAGTTACCTGGCCATCCATGTCCACTTCGTACATGACATGACATGCCGTGTAACTCGTATCCCTCTACGACTTTGCAATGCTGCAAGTGAGCGATGAGGATTTCTATAGACCGTAACTCAAGTTCTTCTAAGTTCGTGCTAGACATGGATAACCCCAAGCCCTCCACAAACAGGGCTTCGTAAATCCTCGCTTCAAAACTCCGTACTCCGTACTCCGCTACTTTCTTTGTATGTACCCCGCGAATAGCGCGACAGTGGCGATCTCTAACCCACTCGGCCGGCAGAAACGAACGCAGGGCCCCAGCTGACGATCTCGGGTAAACCGTGTGTCATGGGCGCACGGTGTCTCCGATAGGGAAATATTGGACGAATGGGAAATTTGCTACTGTCATGGACTCGTGCTGGTGTGCGGGATCGCTTGTTGCGGAGAACGCCGTTTTCCTGGTCTGGGCTAGTCTGGGCTGATCTGGGGAAATGAAATGCATAGTTGATACTCGTATACTATCCATAGATAACGTAGATGTGCATATTTTTGAATGGAGTAGGTGTGTTGATGATGACTGGGATGGGTCTGATGGGCTTGGATATCGTGGTGTCGATGAGTTAAGTTAGTGTCATGTTAGCGTGGAAGTGAGGCTCGTGTTATTTCCACGTGGCTTGGTTGAAACGCTGATGGGTCTGTACTCCGTATATAGATCGGTGTTGAAGCGCTAGGTTGGACTATCTTTATACACACTGTCCCATAAATATGTGGTTGTTAACTAAACCCATGGGTGAATTTCCGGAGATATATCCTATGGTTATTGTCTGTTTGAACGGTAAATATATGGTGGACCATGCTTTGGGGTGTGCATTGACCAGATGAATTCAGCCCTGGAGATTAATCATGTTCATAGCGGAGAATACTTTACGTTGTACGGAGTATGTACATCATTGAATAGATATTCAATATCAGTCAAGACAACTTTGGAAGCACAGATTCCCATTCGTCAGATATCACGTCATGGCAAGTCCGGAGCACAAGGACGTCCAATTATAGAATATTTATGTCAAAAATCCAAGAATCTCTACAATAGCAAGCGGCATAAGTGAAACATGGAGACGCTAGACAAGCTAAGAGATCTACCCGACGAACTAAATGACCCAACGGTCTCCACGTTGCAACCCTCTGCAAGCACGTTGTCGAACCCACAAGATCCAACATCCGAATCTGCAAGATAAGAACGCATATGCAGACGCTAAGTAACGGGAACAGTCCACAGTCAACCCTAAGACTAGAGAGCTCTAACGGAGATAAGCTTCTGGATCTGCAACGGAAATCCACTGGGTCCTGAGGGTCCCAAGGTTGTCCCACGGGCCACATGTGGTCATGTGCGAGTATGAATTGGAGGTCGACCGAGGCGAACTCTCGTGCGAGTACGGAGTAGTTATAGATCAGATCAAACCACAGGGACCTCGGGAGTAAAAAAGACGGAGCATCCCGTGTGAGTGATTCTACATTTGGCTTCTCGGTGAGGATTCCTGTCGCAACCCCAGGAAGCAACACGCAGCCTCCGCAAATCGCTATCAACAAGGAGTGGAGAGGCGCGTCTGAGTTTTGGCGGAGAGCTGTAGCGGGCACCCGTTCGATTGGTGGACCGTGGCATGATCTAGGATCTAGCAATGTGTAAAGGATCAGGATGTTGGCATTTGTTTCTTCCTTTCTATTTATTTTATATTTATTTGCATCGTATGATCGTTATCCTCGTACTCTGTAGAGGCAGTCGAATCCTGCAATATATTTCCTTAAGATTAGGATAATCTAGAGCTGATATTAAAGGTACTCCGAAGTACGTCCACGGCAGCGCCGACCATCGGGGCTCCAATGCGGTTAACCGGGTCTTGGCATCACACGGGATTGGTGCCTGACCCACGGGGGAAAGGACAAACCCTGGACAGTCCGAGATGACTATTCGGGGGCGATTGACTGGACCGGGATTTGGTGCGGGTATTCGATATTCCATGGATTTGGCTACTCTGTGTATGTATGAATATGAGCATTCTATATGTTGTAGCAACTTTTTTGATCTCATTCCGACTAGATTTAGGTCTGGAATTACCCCTCCACCCCTCCATCCCTCTACCCCTCTACCCCTCAGTTCAACTGATCCAGTGGGGCAAAGGACGAGCCGTAGGGTGTAGATAAAGGAAAAATGAGTAAAAAGTGTTAGAAAGCAAAGACGATCAGATAAGCTCGGTAAGCTAAAAGTGGCAGGCCCCGTTTTGGGGGGCCGCTTTGGGTATAGTGGACACGTGACCCAGCCTGCAGCCGAGTGAAATTGCCGAGTTGAGTGGCGGAGACGAGTTTTATTTTTTTATTTCTTTTATTTTACTTTTATTTACTTCATTTTCGATTCAATCCATAGCCATAGGGATATTCATATGAGGATAGCTCGAAGATAGCTCGAAGATACTATGTTGGACTTCCTAGTAACTACGAAATGCACAGTCCACGCATGCATTAGAGGTTCAGCCTCCTCACAAGGTTACATTCACTTCAATTATATTTTTTCACCTCTCGGATCGGTCCTCTCCGAGAATACGGATCGCGGAAGAGATATTCACAGACAAGGAAGATTTAGGAAGAAACCACGGGCTATGATTGATGGGAAGATTCGAGGTAGTCCAATGTGGGCAAGATAAGCCAAATTCTGTGCAAATTCTGTGACCTTAAACCATAAGATAACATTGTTCGGGCCCCGAACTTCGGACGTGCTTCCCACGGAAACCACTGGAAACCATTGGGTTTCATCTTTCGCTTGGGATCTTCTCCTTCCAATTCGTGCAACCTGGTCTTCTGGCATGGTCGTCGACTGTAGGCTCATCGACCAACTCCCGTCCCTTTTCCCCCCATCGTCCGGAATCTGTCGTCCGACTCCGGCTTGGAGTCTGGCTCTCCACATTTCTATATATTTGTACAATCATCCCCTTCCCTCCTTCTTCCTCCATCTACTCTCCAAAATCTCGATTGTCTTATACTCTGCTCGTGGGCAATTTCTAATATCATAATCACATCAGATCACTGCCTAGCATTGATCTACCCTACCTAAAAGCAGAGTAACCGAGACTAAAAACCCGCCGAAATGATCCAGAACCTCCCCTTCGAGCCTGAGTTCGAGCAGGCCTACAAGGGTATGTCTCTTCCCTTTCCCTTGTCCACGCCAATGCCATATCACAATTTTTGCCCGGCTTAATTCCTTTACCGTCGGCATCTTCCCGGCGTGCGGCTCCACAATTTCGGGGTGACTCAGCTAACATTCCCGAAACAGAGCTCGCCTCCACCCTCGAGAACTCCACTCTTTTCGAGAAGAAGCCCGAGTACCGCAAGGCTCTCCAGGTCGTCTCCGTCCCCGAGCGCATTATCCAGTTCCGCGTTGTCTGGGAGGATGATCAAGGCCAGGTAAGATTCTTGTCAAAAGATATTCGATCAATTGCCACATTCTAACCCCCCCTCCTTCAGGTCCAAATCAACCGCGGATACCGTGTCCAGTTCAACTCCGCTCTCGGTCCCTACAAGGGTGGCCTCCGCTTCCACCCCACCGTGAACCTTTCCATCCTCAAGTTCCTCGGTTTCGAGCAGATCTTCAAGAATGCCCTGACCGGCCTGAACATGGGTGGTGGCAAGGGTGGATCCGACTTCGACCCCAAGGGCAAGAGCGACAGCGAGATCCGCCGCTTCTGTGTCTCCTTCATGACCGAGCTGTGCAAGCACATCGGTGCCGACACCGACGTTCCCGCCGGTGATATCGGTGTCACCGGCCGCGAGGTTGGCTTCATGTTCGGCCAGTACAAGAAGATCCGCAACCAGTGGGAGGGTGTTCTCACCGGCAAGGGCGGCAGCTGGGGTGGTTCCCTCATCCGTCCCGAGGCTACCGGCTACGGTCTCGTCTACTACGTCGACCAC